AAATGGCAGAATTTACCTCTTCTTTACGGCTGAATAATTATTATCCAGTTTGTTGTTCAGTCACTAAGTCGTGTCTGACTCTCTGCAACCCCGTGGACTGCAGCACGCCAGGCCTCCCTGTCCATTACCAACTTCTGGAGTTTGCTCAAACTCATGTCTGTTGAGTCAGTGATGCCATCCAACCATCTCGCCCTCTGTTACCCCCTTGTCCTCCTGCCCTCAATCTTTCCCAGCATCAGGGTCTTTTCCAATGAGTCAGCTCTTCGCATCAGGTGGCCAAAGTATTGGAGCTTCAGCATCAGTCCTTCTCAGACGGTAAACAGTCTGCCTGCAATGGAGACCCAGGTTCGATCCCTGGGTCAGGAAGATCCCCTGGAGAAGGGAATGGCAACCCACTCCAGTATTTTTGCCTGGAGAATTCTGTGGACAGAGGAGCCTGGCAGGCTACTGTCCATGTGGACGTGACTGAGTGATTATCCATTTTACATATGCATAATTATCCAATATACATTATGTGTGTATACTTATGATAATCTTGGATAAATAAAATGTGATGTATGTGATAAATATATGTATATATGTATGTTACAGTGTATAGCACTTATAACCATAATGTGATATTCACCTATCGACAGATACCTAAGTTGTTTCCATGTCTTATCAACGCCATTCCCACCAACAATGCAGGAGGCTTCCCTTTCTCACATCCTCATCAACACTTGTTATTTGCCTTTTTCACAATAACCATTCTGACAATGTGAGGAGATATCTTTCTGTGATTTTGACTTGCATTTCACTGATGATTAGTGATGCTGAGTATCTTTCCATGTGCCTGTTGACCACTGTCCAAAGTATGTTGTCTTTGGACAATGTGTATTTAGGTCCTTTGCCCATTTTTAAATTAAATTATTTGCTTTGCTGTTGAGTTGTATGAGTTCCTTACAACAATATCCCTTACCAAATACATGATTTGCAAACATTTCCCCCATTCTGTAGGTTGCATTTTTGTTTTGTTGATTATTTCCTCTGCCATGCAGAAGTTTTTAGTTTGACGTAGTCTGACTTGTTTATTTTTGGCTTTTGTCACTTGTGCTTTAGGTATCAAATCCCAAAACCTTTGCCAAGACCGGTATTGAGCTTTCCCTCTGTGTTTTCCTCTAGGAGTTCTACAGTTTTTATCCAGTTTGAGTTAACTTTGGTGTATGATATAAGACAGGGGTCCAGTTTCATTCTTCTGCATGTGGGTATTCAGTTTTCCCAATGCCACTCATTACCTTCTGAAAGCCTTGGCTCCTTGTCTGTAAAATGTTTGTGATTAGACCTACCTCCCAGGGCCCCAGATGATGTGTGTAAAACCATAATACAGACATTCTTAGAGACGTCACATACCAGTGGTAGTAGCTTTGTTTCCTTTCTCCACCCCTCCCTTCGTCTTCTGGTGTCCCAGCTCTTATTTATTTCTGTTTGGTCTTACTGCAGTGGGTGGGACTTCTAGACCGCTGAGTACAGTGGACACAGAGAGGCTTCCTGCCATGGCCCCGATGACACTTGAAAGCTGTGTGCTTCACCCGGGGACCCCGCTCTGTCCCTGCTTCATCGCCTCATCAGGAACCCCTCCAAGCCCACAGTCCATAGTCGCCTCCTGTCCTGGACTTGAAGTCTAAGCCGCTTCACAGTCTGGGAGCCTGACCTGGGCTCGGTGCTGCGTGGATCGGATGTTCAGTCGTAAGCCCCTCTATGAGAGCTTGCTTAGCACAAGCCCAGAGTGGTCTCCAGGACCAGCTGGGCTCAGGGTCCGGGACTCCAGTCTGGGTCCATTGTGCGCATTACCCCTCTCTGCCTGGGGGTCTCCACCTCTCCCTGCCTCCCTCCCCTACCCGCCCCAGCGGAAGGATTTGCCCTGGGCAGTTGGCCCAACGATGCAGTAAGACTTTCCTCCCCACCCCCTTCTCTTTGCTTATCTCTAAGTCTAAAGAAATGTTGAAATGTGTTGGGCAAAAACATCTGGGCAGCTTCCAGGTGGAGGCAGCTTGTCTTCATGGAGAGGATTTATGAGCTCAGACGTGCAGCCAAGAGAGGAGAATAAACCTGGCAATGAGCACATGTTCAGGAGGCTTTCCCACCAAAGTAAAAGGCAAAAACATGTTAAGGATATTTCCTTCTATTTTCCGTTGTCAATATTTTTTCATCAGATAGTGTTGCTAAGTCACATCAATGTCTTTTCAGTGTAGGGGAAAAAGCAAATGTTCCTTTTCTGATCTACTTCCTTTTTGTTTCCTTAATGTTGCTTTTCCAAAGGCAAAGGTGTTGGAATGTTGATGAAGTCCAATTTATCAAGTTTCTTTCATGGCTTGTGCATTTAGGAGCCAAAGAAATCTTCGTGTATACCCAAACTGCACATTTTTCTCCTGGAAATCCTGCATAGTTTTATATTTAACATTCAGGGCTAAGATCCATTTTGAGTTATTCTTTGTGTGCAGGGTGGTAAGGGTCAATGCTGATTTTTTTCTGAATATCCAGCTGTTGTAGCAACAGTTGCTGAAAGGTATTTCTGTCTTCACCGAGTTATCTTGGCACCTTTATTTCTGTCTTCACCGAGTTATCTTGGCACCTTTGTTGAAAATGACTTGACCATATACATGTAGGTGTATTTCTACTGATACATAAAGACACAGTAGATTTTTTTTTTTTATGTTGGGCTTGACTCTTGCCACCCTGCCCAATTCATGATGTTACTCCTGGTACTTGTCTTATCATGCATGAATAGGTGCCGATTTTTGTCAAATGGTTTTCTGTGTGTGTCCCCTACTGATAGGATCATGTAATTTTTCTTCTTTGGTCTGTTAATATGGTGAACTGCATTGGATGATTTAAAAATATTGAAACAGCTTTGCATCCCTAGAATGAACTTCAGTTGTTCCTGGCATAAAATTTTCCTACATGTTGCTGAATTCTATGTGCTAATGCTTTGTTAAGGATTTCTGCATCATGTCTTCTTAGTTTCCCTTTAGCTGAGATTCTCTGATTTCCCCTCAACCTGAAGCTGTTATCGCAGATACAGGCCTCTAGACCTACCCTTCCTTTCGCGTCTGAAAATGCCAGGCTCTATCCTTTAGGTTTTCTTGCTTTCTGATGAGACAGTGTTGTAATGTGAGTGGTTCTCTAAATGTGTTGATTTAAATGTGTAAAACATCATTTCATTTTGTCTTCAGCTTTCAGAAGTTTGACTTTGCTGGGTTTTTGGTGTGGATTTCTCCTTTTTGGAATCCTTTTTTTTTTTCAGTTTAATTTTGTGGGTTTAAGGCCTTTTGCAAAATCTCAGCTGTTTCTGTCCTTATTTATGTTTTCTTTAGCATTTCTAGCTCCATCTTCACGCTCATCTCCTGCAGGATCCTATGACACAAAGCCATAGCCCTGCAGTCCCTAACGTTCTGAGAGTTTTGGTTTCGGGTCTGTTTTGTCTCTGTTGTTCAGATTTGGTGGTTCTTATTGGCTCAGCTTTCCGTTCACTGATTCTTTCCTCTGTCTCCTCCATTTTTCTGAGCCAGAACATTCAGGTTTTTCTTATTTCAGTTCCTCCTTCCAGGAGAGCCATCTGCCCAGCTGGTCTGAATGCCAGTTGGGTGCCGTCTCTCTGGGCCCCAGGGAGCAGGTCTCAGGGCCCAGGGAGCGTGGTCAGATGTTGGGAGGACAGGTTGAGTCTGGCCCGGCCACCCGCTCCAGGACCAGGCGGGCGTTCGGGGGGACTGGGTCGTCATGGGACCACCGCTGCCCTCCAAGACATGCGGAAGCCCTCGGGGCTGCCCGCCCGGCATGCTGCCCTCTGCTTCCCCGGACGCAGACAGGCTGCCAGCCAACCCTGGGGTGGTGGTCGGTCCCCTGACGTCTGCTCAGGCTCACAGGACAGTCTCTTTGCATGGCTTCATTTCTCAGACTCAGGCTGTTCCCGGGACGACCAGGACACACAGTGGCGGAGGCGACAGGCGCCGCACATCCTGCTGATGGTCTCACCTGAGCTCCTGTCCTGACGAGGGCCGGGCGCAGGATCTGCAGGGCCAGTCTGACTCCGGCCCAGGCCTCAGCGCTGTGCTCTGCGCCCCCAGCCAGAGAAGGCCTCGTGAAGCCTCGGGCCCTGCTCTGCCCGGCAGGGACTTGGCCACAGGCGGCGTGCGGGTGAGACGGCAGGTCAGCCTTCCTTTCCTGCCAGCCTGGGACTCATGGCACACAGAGGGTCAAAGGCGTCCCCCTCTGGATCCACGACGTAAACACAGCGTATTTTGTTAATGCCTCTCACCGTGTCGGGTCTGTACCTGGTTCTGTGTGCTGTGTTCAGTGGGAGGAGGACTCATGCCTGGTTCAAGCAGACCCTGAGGTTGGAAAGAATGCTGTGCGGTGGTGGGGGCAGGAGCCAGAGGGAAGGCTGGAGGGTGTGGGGGCGGGGTCAGGGGCCGGCTGCCCACGTGACCCGCCAGCGTGCACGGACGGCCTTCAGTCCTGGCGTCCGGCGATGCCAGCGGCATCTGGAGCGCATTACGCGTGCGCTGAGGGCAGTGACTTCCTGGCTGATCAGAAGTCAGTTCCTTACTGTGGCTGCATCTCAGGAGCTGCCTGCCTGAGTCCCTCCGTGATCAGAGGCCCCGCTCCCGTGAAAGCACAGCTCAGAGCATCTCTGCTCAGAGCAAGTCCTGCGTCCTAACTACACTTTCAGTTCTTGCCCGGTTCAGAGCGCCACAAGCTGGTGGCCCAGAGCGACAGCTGCAAGTCCCCACCAGTCTGTCCTTCTCAGACTGTTCAGACGGACGCTGACATTTTGGCCCATGACTGGCATGCAGAAAACAAGAGGATTTTAGAAGAGCAGCATGTCCTTGGCAAGCAAATTAGATAATCCTGCTGTGTTTCTATGCCTTTCCTCTGCAATTGTGGTTCCAAATCATAGAGAGCGGTTTCCTAGGAAGTAAAACCCCAGGAGACGGAAGACCGTGAGGGCCGTCGGTGCGTAGATGTGGGTGGGCGGCCGTTGTCCGGAAGTTTCGGGTGTGTGCGGAGGCTCATTCCGCCTGTGGAGCTCTGAAGCAGGTCCTGGAGGGGTGGTGATGCCACACTGCCAGCTCTCTCAACACCAACCTGACGGTGTAGAGACAGTGCTCGTGAAACCTGGACGCTGCGCGGCAGAGCTCACAGACATGTTGGTCGTGCTCGGGATGGCTCTGGGGAGCAGAGCCAGGCTGGCGGCAGGATTCCATCCCCAAGGGAGGGTTTCAGGACGGTCACGCCAGAGCCCACCAGAGCTTGGTGAACTGCGCAGATGGCGGTTTCGAATTTGGCCATTGTGTCCTCTTCCTCTAGATACAGTCATCAAAATTCATCTCAACTGTCACTTCGTGCTTAGTTGCTCAGTTGTGTCTGACTCTTGCGACCCCACGGACTGTAGCCCACCAGGCTCCACTGTCCATGGGATTCTCCAAGTAAGAATACTGGAGATGATTGCCATTTCCTTCTCCGGGGGATCTTCCCAACCCAGGGATCCATCACCTGTGTTTGCTGCATTGCAGGAGGACTCCTCACCCGCTGAGCCCCCGGTGAAGCCCTCACTCACTGAGTGAACACGATGGCCTGTGGGCCGTGTTGTTCTCGAGACAGGATGCGAGAGGCTGCTGCATCCTGATGGCAGGGGACACAGCTGCTCCATCTGTTGCTTCTAGAGGCGCGGTGGCCAAGGCTGACCCTGGTTCCGTCTCTCCACCCTGCCGCCCCAGGAGCCAGATGGCTGCGCAGACCTCACCCCGCAGTGATGTCCCAGTGTGTGGGGTGAAGGAGGAGGAGAAGAGGGGGCTCAGTGAGACGCGAGACTGGAGGGGCAATGTGGGCAGAGCCCCCGGCCCTGTTGGGCATCATCCCACCACTTGGAGGACAGGTAAGGATGGGCGTCACACCTGGGGGGGGTCCCAGGAGGTTCTCCCCGAGGAAGCAGCTTGGGCCAGAACAGCAGGTGCCGACCTTCTCTGCAGAAGCTGCCTTGGATGTGGCTGGGAGTGTAACCACCCGCTCGGCCCTGGGGCTCGGCAGGGCGAGGGGAGGGCCCAGTGGACACAGCTCGGATTCAGGCAGGAAACCGGCTCTGAATGCAGGAGGGTCTGAAAATCACAGCAGTGAGAACCTTCCACCCAGAGTGTCCTAAGGACAGAAGCTCTGCAGAAGCCCGTCCTAGAAAAGCGCGTGGACGGAAGTTCTTGGCCCCAGGCTGGAGCAGACTGGCTTCTGCCCAGACCTGGAGGACCAGCTGTCCCGGGGCCTCGGCGTGGGGCTCACAGGGCTGTGGCGTCCAGCCCAGCGCCTGTCACACGGACGGGCACCCTCCAGGGGCAGCTGCTGGTTCAGGCTGCGCCGCGTTGTCATTAACCCCCACACAGACTTTCGAGGACCATCCTGATGTGCCTGAACTCACTCCTCCTCCTGGAGGGTCATCTCTGAGCCCTAAGAGACAACGGCCCCAGGTCAGCACCCACTTTGGCTGTGGCTTGGAGGGCGTGCCCCGACCTCCTGAGCTCTGCAGGGTCATTGTGGCCCAGCAGAGCAGTGTGTGGAATGTGTTTATTTAGTTCCTGGCTCGTAGCAAGTGCTCGATAAATTTCAGAGATCGTCCCAAATATTTCTAGCACTGCTGAGGCCCAGTGTTTAAGACTGCATCTGGTTCATCTTAGAGCCTCTGTAGCCAATCCCGCCTCCGCCTTGGTTTAAACTTGGGCCTGGGAGCCGACCCCAAGGGGTTCCTGTAGAACAGTGAACCCCCTTCCACCTGTCATGGGGAGGCCTGGGGTCTCTAGCCGAGCTGCGAGCAGCCCTCAGTGGTGGGTGGGCGACCAGACTGAAACCGCACAGCTAGAGTGCCTGTGTCCAGGGCTTGACTGAGGCTGACCCTGCGCCTGTTGCAGAAGACTCTTGAGAGTCCCTGGGGCAGCAAGGAGATCCAACCAGTCCATCCTAAAGGAAATTGATCCTCAATATTCACTAGAAGGACTGATGCTGAAGCTGAAACTCCAGTACTGTGGCCACCTGATTTGAAGAACTGACTAATTGGAAAAGACCCTGATGCTGGGAAAGACTGAAGGCAGGAGGAGAAGGGGACGACAGAGGATGAGATGGCTGGATGGCATCACCGACTCAGTGGACATGAGTTTGAGTAAACTCCAGGAGTTGGTGATGAACAGCGAGGCCTGGCATGCTGCCGTCCATGGGGTCGCAAAGACTCGGACACGACTGAGCAACGGAACTGACTGATCCTGCGCCAAATGGCAGGCATGCCAGTGTCCTCCCGCCCGGAAACTGCCGGCACCCCCTCCAGCTCCAGGTAAGCAGACTAGAGGCCTGCGCTTTTGCTCACTGAGGCCACCCCCCACACAGGGCGCTCTGCCTGCTCCTCCTCCCTCGCTCCCTTACTCCAAAGGGCGGAGTTGTGCAGCCGCAGCCTAGTAAAGGCTTTATCTGGCATGGACGTGAGAGGTGACAGTTTTTCTCCTTTAGTTTTTACTGCTTTAAAAAAAAAAAAACACAAAATGCAATGAGTCTCCCGCTCAACTTTCTCAGCCACCTCCTCCAGGAAGCCCCCTGCCTCCTCTGCTGGGCTGCCTGCCCCATGTCACTGTCTGCTAAGGTCTCTGTGTGGCCGCTTTCATGTGACCACCACCTCTCGCTGCCAGTGGTCAGCCAGCCTGCAGATGGAGTTCATCAAGAGAGGACCAGCCTGGAATGGCAAATCCACCTGACATTTTGTCACTGTCTTTATTCTTGGGTGAATGTGGAATTTCACCTACTGATGTGTACTGACCAACTACTCGATGGTAGGAAGGTGCTGGGTTTCTCTCTCCTGCAAGGGAGATGTGGGTGATGCAGGCGTGGGACCCAAGGGAGACCGAGGAAGGAGCAGGGGCCTCTGGCCACAGGTGGCACCCCGTGCACCCAGCTGTCCACCCGCCTGTCCACTCTGTCCACTCACCTGTCCACTCTGTCCACCCTTGCCCCTGCCACCCACCCCTGTCCACTCTCACCTGTCCACCTCGTCCACCCTTGCCCCTGCCACCCACCCCCGTCCACTCACCTGTCCACTCTGTCCACTCACCTGTCCACCTCGTCCACCCTTGCCCCTGCCACCCACCCCCATCCATCCACCTGTCCCTCCCCTGTTTTGGGGTGTGACCCCACCTCAAAGAGAGGCTGGGGCGCAGGAGGCCCTGTGGTTAGAAGCGGCCCCAGCTGCAGCCCCTCCCCGACTGGGCTTCTTGCTCTTCCCCCACCAGGCTCCACTCCCAGATGCTGACACCGTTAGGAGCTCAGCCGCTGCTGCAGAGGGTGACATTCTGTGTCCGTTGCTAGGCGTGTGTGAGGCTGAAATGAGCAGGAACTGGCTTCAGCTTGGGAGTGGAGATGGTCATGTTTTCTGTGCTTTGTGAGTTGGTCAAGGTGCTGAGTTACAGATGTGAGTTTTCACTCTGGCTCATCCATCTGCAGTCTGAGCCACACGTTTCCTCTTCTAAAAAATGGGGTTATTGGCTAGATGAAGTGAACGTTGGCTTTAACCTTGTAAGTCAATAAAAAAGATAATTTTATTTTATTTTGAAAATATTAAAAGACACAGTGTCGCTTACTTTTTAACACCAGCCTTACCTATTTTGGGTTCTCCTGTTTCTCATACACTTAACCACATATACACACACATTTACACACTTTCGGTGTTGCTCGTATACTATTTGTGTTTTGATTTTCTTCAGATCAGGTATTTTGCACATACTTTTACAAATGTACATGTTACCAGTGTCAGTCATAATGAAGCATAAAACAGATGCGCCTAGAACTACCTGTCGCTAGACATTTTGGGTGGTTTTCTGTTTGCCAACGTACAGCTTTATTATTTGTCCTTTAGGCCACTTCCTCATGGGGTTTGATGTGTGGAGAGGCTCAGAGTTTTTACATCCCTCCTCACATCTTGCCAGCTTGCCTTCCCAGAGCAGGAAGAAGACCCACTGTCCCAGTGTCTCCTGCCTCACACTGCACCTCAGTTCCTGGCCCCGAGTCCTCTCCTTCCACTGTTGACCGGAAGTAAAGCAGCTCCTGTTTCCCTGTGCATTTCCGGGGTCGCTGGCAGCGATCCCGAGCTCATCGTGGGGCTCCTCAGTAGGACCTGGTCGTCCCCGCACAGGCTGCTGTGTGCACCCCCGTAATTTTTCACGTCAGCCCTTTGTGATCAGGGAGGACCCAGCACCCCTCCCCGCAGTGCAGGCTTGCCAGGTTGGGGTGGGACCACCACTGACGGGGGGACTGGGAAGTGTTACATCATCGTTTGTAATTTAATTCTCTCATTAGTGCGTTAGTTACTCACTGGTGTCAGACTCTATGCGACCCCATGGACTAGCCCAGCCGGCTCCTCTGTCCATGGAATTCTCCAGGCAAGAACACTGGAATGGGTTTCCTTCTCCAGGGGATCTTCCCAACTCAGAGATCAAACCTGGGTCTCCCACATGACAGGCAGATTCTTCACTATTTGAGCCACAAGGGAAGCACAATTATCTCATTAAGTTATAGTTAAAATAGTTGTATACACATGACACACCACAGTGTAAAATACAATAGGACCAGAAAGCTTACTTGGAACTGCCCGTGGGTTTTCTTTCACTCATTCCTGGATAAGGTATTGCGTCGCTTCTCACGCTGGTCCTGCTGGCTCCATCGGGGGACGTCAGTGAGGGCAGGTGCCCGTCCCTGCACCTGGGTGCTGCGCCCAGCCCTTGCAGGACAACTCTGGGCTCGTGTTTGACCTGTTCCGTGTCAACACCTGGCCTTCATACACAGAGTTGTGTCCAGCGAATTTCCTTCTAGAGGTCTTAAAATGGGCTTAGAGGCTTTTCTTAAGATTTGCCTGGAAGCAAGTATGTAATTTCAGCCTATGTTATGCAGTCAGGGTCGGAACATCTTATCAAACTTGCTCTGAGGGTCGGTAGCTGGGTTCCCTGGAGTTGAGTTACTAACGTGTGGGAACAAGTGACTTCTTTCACAGCCTCGTGTGTCCACCCCTCTGAGAAGTGAAGGGCTGATTCCTAGGTGGATGTGGCAGGATTAGGTCCCCTAATTCCCTCGGGACACTGGGCCCTTTGTGGCTGCTCTGCTGTGGTGAGCCACACACCCTGACTCTGAGTGACTCTGCGGTCACCACCCGCCATTTACCCAGGAGCGCGTCTCCACCCGCCCGCCGGGCTGCCCCGTGCTGTGTGGGAGGTGCGGCCATGTCGGGAGACAGGAGCGCCCTGCCCTCCCGCGGCTGGGCCGGGCTGGGGCCACCAAGGTGGGCCTGGGTCCGCCCCAGAGCCACTGATCCGGGAGCCGAGGAGGCGGCAGACAGGTGTCCAGGGAGAGGCGGGACGGGCTCCGCGTCGGTGGAGAGGCCGCCGCCGGAGTGGAGTCGCTCAGGCCCGGAGTGGCCGCCCTGCGGCCCGAGCAGCAGCAGCGCTTCGGGGGAAGCCGCTGTCTGCAGGAGCCTGTGGTCATCATGCCGTGCTCCTGCGTGCTCGCGTCCTCTCCTCCGGGGGATGTGACTGTCCCAGGAGCAGAGGGGAGCAGCAGGCCTCGGCAAAGCTCCCTCTCCCCTCAGCTCCCCTTCAGCCGCACAGCTGCCCTCCGTCACCAGCGTGGACCCGTCCTTGACATCCACGCAGACTGCCCGCCCTCAGCTCAGGGCCAGTTCTCAGCTGAGTCTGCTCCTGACCATAAGGGATCCCCTGCTGGGTTTGAAAGATCCTTAAACGTGCAGTGCTGGTCACTGGCGCATCTCACAACCCTTAGGACCTTGTGCTGTGTGGCACGGCTGCCAGTGCCCAGGTCATCTCTACTGACTGGCCTGAGCAGTAGGTCATCTGTTTTTGTATTTCCTGCACACTATATTGTGGGCAACAGACACTGTTACATAGATGAATCAGTAGTTGCTCTCTGAATGTTCCACTGACCATACATGTGACTCACTGCAAGTTCATTTACTGGATTGATAACTGTTTGATGGACAAACATTTGTTAAATAGATGAAGAGTATTATTCACTTTCAATAATAGAAGGAACACTGGAAAGAGGATCAAGAAAGAAACAGAGGACTTTCT